TAGTGTAGTACAAGCTAAAACCCTGGGTTCCTTTAAATCAGAGCTAGATAAGATTTTAATAACTCTAAGCTATTAGTTCTCCCCAAATGAGTTTGATGGGCCGAATGGCCTCCTCTCATTTGTAAATTTCTTATGTGGTTATGTTCTAAGTACACACAGGAACATAAGTATAATGACTGACTGAGGAAAAGAGCAGGAGTAGGTATTTAGATACACATAAGGTTAACAAGACATGATGCAAGACAGGTGAGAACACCAATGAATCAAAGCACAGGACAATGAACAACAGGTGGGGCTAATTAACAGAACTACAAAGCTTAACAGACATCAAAACTAGGAGACATAAACCAGACACTAGTAATACAATGCAAAGTTAATCGATATAGAACAAAAAGCATGAAACAAAAACTAGAACAGAACACAAGAAGGGGAAACTGATGGCTGAGAAACAAATACAAAGTAATAAACACTGGGGAAACAGAAGAACCAATAAATACAAAATAACAGATATGTCTTGAACCTATGATCATAGGGTTAAAAGTCTAAGCCACATGCTCAACCCACTGAGCTATGTGGAAGTCTAGGGATTTAGACACACTGGGGCTGAAGGGCAAGAGACAGGGGGGAAGCAGGATGGCCAGCGACACCTGCTGGCCAAACGGGGAGGAGACACGAAGGGCAGGAATGGACGGGCGCTGACCCTGACAATAGGGTCCCTCTGAGTAGTACAGTGTCCTGCTGTTGCCCTAAGACATGCAGTTAAACTAATTGGTATCTCCAAATTGCACATGATTATCTGAAAATGGTATATATCCTTTGATGTACTGGCAAGGCCCTTGACCCCTACTTGCTCCAGGGGAACTGTCTCTGTAGATATAGTACTTCACTGTAAGTTGCTTTGGATAAAAGTGCCTGCTAAATGAATACATGTAAATGTCGTACTGTAATATATGTGTTGCTATACCCACTGTTTTTGCACAATATACATTGTGTTGCGATGCAAAAAGGAAAGGGAGCAAGTTGAGGTCAAGGGCCTTGCTCAGGGGCACAATGATGGCATATATCTACCAATAAAGAACTGTTCACACCCACTGTGTGAAGTGTTGTGAAAAAGTGGACATGGTATTGAGACAAGTGTGAAAATGATTGGAAAAAACTGTAAAATAAACAAGAACTACTTTTGTGTGTAAAAATTGTAATACCAACCAATTCTGAAATGCTGCAATATATTTCATTGGAAATCATGTAAGTGTTGCTGTTTCTTTTTTGCAGTATGTAAATATTTCATTCCTAGCAGAAAATGCCGATCCAAAGATGGCCCCTTTTGTAAATGTGGCAAATTGGCACTAACCAAACAAATTCCTAGATAGGTTCTTAGCTGAAATTTCAGGCTGGTGTGTGTTTTCATTCAGCTTTCCAGCTTCAACCATTGTAAAATGCTTGGGGTGATCTAGGGCAGGGGTTTCCAACTCCAGTCCTGGAGAGCAACTGTCCAGTAGGTTTTTCTATCCTACCTGGCTTCTGATGAGTCACACCTATACTCAAGTAAATACCAGGAACAGGTGTGGCTCATCAGAAGCCAGGTAGGATAGAAAACCTACTGGACAGTAGCTCTCCAGGACTGGAGTTGGAGACCCCTGCCCTAGATCACCCCAAGCATTTTACAATGGTTGAAGCTGGAAAGCTGAATGAAAACACACACCAGCCTGAAATTTCAGCTAAGAACCTATCTAGGAATTTGTTTGGTTAGTGCCAATTTGCCACATGTACTGTACAAAAGGAGCCATCTTTGGATTGGCATTTTCTGCTAGGAATGAAATATTTACATACTGCAAAAAAGAAACAGCA